GGCAGGGGGACAGCTGGGGTTGGGGGGGGCAGATTCCCAGGCGCCTCTCGGGCACACCTCCCAGGCCCCCCCGAAGTGACCACATGGCTCTGTCCTAGGAGCGTGGCTCTCCTGCTCCTGCTGGTGTTTTGCATCTGTTTCCTGGTGGCCTGTGTCCTGTACCTGCATGTCACACGGGTCCAGGTACGTGTCCTGTATCTGGGCACCTGGACAGGTGCATTCTTGGTCTCCACCTGCCCTCCAGGCAGGACAGGTGGGTCGTGGAGACACTGGTCCACTCGTCCGCCCTCCTCGCAGTAGAAAGTGTTGCCCGAGTAGCAGGAGCTGGGCGCTGCTCAGAGGTCGTGGCCCCGGGGGTGGGTGACAGCCAGCGGCTGAATAAATGAGCACAGGGTTCGATGTTCTCCTGGAACGGAGAGTCCCTCGGGGACAGGCTTCGAGCGCTGGTTTGTCGTGCGTTTGGGGCCCACGTCTGCACCGTGGCTCCATCTCTGTGGTGCTGAGTGAAGCAGGGAGGTGAGAGCGGGGGTCCCGCCGTGGGCCCCGCCGTGGGCTTCCTGCCCCCCCTGGAGCTGGCCGTGGCCTGTGCTTCTGGGGCCTAGAGCTTCACGGGGCAGAGGAGAAGCGGGGGCTCGGTGGCTGAGGGCCGGCGGCGGTCGGTTACTCCTCCCGTTCGCCTGAATTGTGCAAACCCTGCAGCCCGTGGTCGGGCACCGGGCTGTCACCCGGCAGAGCGTCGGCCACGTTAGGACCGACTGTCCACAGTGTGGTCTCTGTTTGCATTTTTATTTCTATTTCAAGAGCGTGAGTCCAAAAAGAACTCTGACTTCTATGTATGAAATTGTTGAATATTAAAAAATGTATTTAAAACAAATAGATTTAAAATAAAACATCAATAACAAAAATTATACAAAACCCGTCTGAAGAAAATGATAAAACTTAAGCGTGAAGACCCCAGTACGTGGGAATTCTCACCGTTCGTGAGCCGGAGGGACGCGGCGTTACGAAGGTTAATCTGTTCAGTCGACTTCAGTGCCAGCGTCACAATGCAGGGGGAGGGGGAGGTGTCGCTCTTTTTAATTGAAAGACACCAGGTTTTTTGGCAAGTTTTTCGCCTGGGACATTAAATATAAGAAAACAGCCAAGAGGTGGTTGTGGGAGATGAGCCGTGGGCGGGACTCCGGCCGTGCTGAGGTCACCGGACCGTCCCTGCTGTGAGGTGTTTACTGCGGACGTGAGTCCCTTTGGATTAAGACACGGTTTCTAAAAACGATCCTGTGTTGTTCAGTGTCTCCCGGGCTGCCTGACCATCCAGATTCGCACCATCCTGTGCATTTTCATCGTGGTCTTGATCTACTCCGTGGCCCAAGGATGTGTGGTGAGCATCTCTGACTCCCGGCAGCGCAGGGCGTGGGGAGCGGCGAGGTTCGGGGACGAGGGGGCACCTGAGGAGAGTCACGAGGGAGCCGGGGGGGCTCAGACAGGCCTGGGGGTGCCCGGGAAGCCAGGGCAGGGGCGCTTCATCCAGCAGAAGAAACGCAGGCTTCTCCTGGTTCAGCGAAACCGGCCCCTTTATGGTGAACAGAGGGCAGAGAAGTAGGACGGAGGTGGGAGGGGGGGCAGGGCCGAGCTGGGGCAGGAACGAAGCCGGTGGCCCTCGCAGGCGCGGAGGTGGCAGCCGGCTCTGTCCCGAGTGAGCCCCTCCCGGCCGCGTGCCCGTCTCCCCCCAGGTGGGCTGCCTGCCCTGGGCCTGGAGCTCCAGCCCCAACGGGTCCCTGGTGGTGCTGTCGCCCGGAGGCCAGAGCCCGGTGCCGCCCGCCCCGCCCTGCGAGTCCGCGCCCCACGCCCTGCTCTGCGGCCTCGTGGGCACCCTCCCCCTGGCCATCTTCCTGCGGGTCTCCTCCTTGCCCAAAATGATCCTGCTGTGCGTGCTCAGCACGTCCTACATCCTGGTCCTGGAGCTCAGCGGGTACACCAAGGCCGCGGGGTAGGTGCCCCCCGACGGGCCCGCTCGGTCGCGATGTCCGCCCGAGGCTGCGTGCGCTGGCCGCTGGCTGGGAAAGTCTTCGGTGGCTTCTCCACCCCCCCCAGGTTTGGGGGGGCCTCGGGCCCCGGGGACACGCGGCTGTGCCTGGTGCCGCTGGGGGTGTCGAGCCTTCGGGGTGCTCTTTGGCCACGGCCGCCGTTCGATGACCAAGCCTGGGCACTGACTGGGCTCCCTCCTCTTGCTGAAGGGCCGACGCCGCCTCCAGGCGCAGCTTCGAGCCGATCGTGGCGATCCTGCTGTTCTCGTGCACGCTGGCCCTGCACGCCCGGCAGGTGGACGTCAAGCTGCGGCTGGACTACCTCTGGGCCGCGCAGGCAAGATGAGCCCTTCCTGCTTCCTCGGGAGGGCGGCGGTGAGGGGGCCCCTGGGAGGGGGCGTCGGGTGGGCGGACCGGGCTGGACACCAGCCGGCGGTGAGGGAGGCCACTGCCCAGGGTGAGGAGGGGCCGGGGGGGGGGCAGCACAGGGAGGCGAGAGGGACAGCTCCATGGGCCCGAGGGCCAGAGGGTGGTGGTTTTGTGAGTAGTGAGTTCCCCGTCCCCACAGGCATTCCAGCAACACTGGTCTACTGTCTGTCCCTGAAAACTTGCCTGTTTCATTGATTCTTCCACCTGTTCACTGTGTGTGGCTGGGGCCCTGAGCCAGGCCTTGTGGGGGGACCACTGACTCTCAGGGGGCTTTGGCCCAGCACCGTCTTCACACCTGGATGCAGGATTCCAGGTGGGCGGGGGCTGGATCCCAGAACCTGGGACAGGGCGGGCCACCAGGCAGCATTCACAGCCTTCGGCCGCAGGACACGGCCAGCCCGCAGTGACCGTGCCGGGAGTGACCGAGCCGGGCGGTCTCGTCCCTCACCCCCACAGCTCCTGCTGGCCGTGCCCGATAGGAAGCAGGTGGCGAGGGGACCCGTTGGTAGGTCCTGCGGGCGGGAGCAGACGCCGGCACACACCAGGCCCCAGACAGGCCTGGCCTCGGTGGGGGACGGCCGCGCGCGGGGGGCCGTGCTGGCTCTCCGTGGGGACCAGGCTGCTGGTCCCTGAGATGCGTCCGCCCCACCCTCAGCCAGCCCCTCTGGCTTCAGACCCTTTAGTTATGAAGCTACTCAGAGCTCGGGGTGAGCGGGGAGACCTGGCCTGGCCTGGGGGTGTGGCCTGGGATCCAGCTTGCGGACAGGCTTGCAGAGTGGACTGAGGCCCCGGCCGTGGCTCTCCCGGCCAGGGACACCCAGGGGGACACCAGGGCAGGAGTTTCTGTCACCTGGGTCGGCAGGGGCTTTTCCTGGTGTCAGTGTCCCTTTGAATGTCGTTCAATACGAGAGTCGACCAGCCCTGTTCCGGGCTCCCCGCCAGTGACGCCCTCGCTGCGCCGGCCCCGTGAGGTGAGCCCTCCCGGGGTTCTGTGCAGCAGAGCCCCTCGTGCGTCCCGGGGGCACAGGGACGCTGGTTTCCAAGGGTACAGAACGAGAACTCCCCCCATTTTCCCGTAAACCCAGGGAACAAGGACACTTCTAGACTGTGCGCCTGTCCTTGGACATCCGAGCCTGTTACTGTGCAGATGTCGGAGTCCTCGAGCCTTTCCAAGTGGCCAGGCAAGGACCGGGGTTAATTATTTACTGAGACCAGCTGGCCGCCTGAACCCACGTAAACAGACAGGCTTTTCCCCCTGACGACTCCTCCACCCTCGCCGATGGCCATCGGACGCTCTTGCTTGAGTGCGACTTTCTCTCGGACCCAGGAGATGATCCCGGCGGCGGTGACGACCGATGATGGCAACTGGGCTCTCTACCCAGGACGCCTGTGCCGAGGCCCCGCCGGCCCGACGCGGAGCCGGGCGGTGCCCCTGTGCTAGCTGCGCCTCCGCCCCCCTCCCCGGCCTTCTCAAGCCTCGGTTCTCACACCAGTGACTCAGCCCAGGGTGGGGGACCTCACGCCACACAAGCCGCAGCTCCATCTTCCTTCTCGCTTGAGGAAGGAGCTCCCGGCTCCGCGCTGACGCATCCGAGTGCCGGCATCACCGCGCCCTCCTCCGGAGCATCGTGGAGTAAAACCCGGGTGACCTGGACACGAGCGCTGCGACGCGGGGACGGTCGACCTGACACGGGAGATGCCGACTGAGTCGCTAGCGGGCTGGACGCCGGTCAGAGGGACAGTCACGTCCCGGGCGGATGGAGCCGGGCAGAGAGGGCTTCATCGCGCTCCCCAGGACGGCACCCAGTTTAAAACGTACGGACTGTGTTTGTGGAGTTTCCACTTAGTGTGTCGGGTGGTGGTCGACTTCGAGTAACTGAAACCCTGGACCTCGGATCAGCGGATCAAGGGGGTCGACATGCAGGTTCTCCTGCTGAATATCTACGGAGATGGACACACGGCATTTCAACGGAAACTTTTGCATCTGTGGACGGATTAAAAAATGGATGATGAGCCCGACCGGCGTGGCCCGGGGGTTGAGCGTCCGTCCCACGAACCAGAGGCCGCTGTCCGATCCCTGGTCAGGGCGCCTGCCCAGTAGGGGCCTGAGGAGGCAGCCGATCAGTGTTGATATTTCTCTTTCTCCATCTCTCTTCCTCTCTCTCTAAAAATCAATAAAAGCATATTTTAAAAGTTGATGATCTAGGGAGACAGCTAATCTGATAGCTCATAAATCTAAATCGTGAATAAATAGAAATAAACGGAACTTAGAACCAAAGCGGCTCATCCCGAGGAGAGAGACCGAGGTTCTTTTTAAAAAGCTGAAGCACCTTCAGCTGTGTTGCTTTCATTAAAATATTATCAACATCAATGATGGTATTTTGGAGAGAGCAAAACTTTTGTGCCATTAATAAAGCGAAGTGTTGTTTTAAAAAATGTTACTTCCTCTTTCTCTCACCCTTAAAACACGTTGTCCTGTGCGTTGGTGACACCCGCGAGCAGGTGGCGAGTTGTAATGTCCTCGGAGGGGTCCGGTCCCTGCCGGGCCTGCTCCGTCCGCGCGGCCGATCCCCTCCGGCCGCACGGCCTGCCCCGAGCTGGATCCTCCTCCTCGCCTCGCCTGCTGCCTGTCACCTGCTTTAAGGAGCAAGAGGAGACGTGTCGTCAGCTGCGTGACAACTAACGGCTCCGGGGAACCTCACGCGTCTGCTCTCCCAGGAAATGCCCAGAAGGAGGCCCAGGGGCTCCGGGCCCGGCTCGTCCTGGCCTCTCTGCCCCCTGTGGTCAGAGGCTCCCGCGCCCGAGGCCTCCCCGTGGCTGCCGCTGGGGATCACCACGCTTCTAACCGCAGAATCACGACACGGGCCGTGGCAGCGTGTGACCGACCGGCTCAGCCGTGCTCATGGCGACGCCTCGGAGGTGCCGGCCAGGCGTTCTGGGCAGCTCGTGCCCTCCGACTAACCGAGTGACAGGCGGGACGCTGTCTTTGAAAACGGGGCTCTACACCCAGTGGTCGAACGAAGAGGAAATGAGCACGTTGCCTGGCCAGGTGACTCCAGCCAAGGCGTGTGGCCTTCAAGCCTCAGCTCTTGATGGCCAGGCCACGGGCCACCAGGGCACGGCCACTGAGGCGTCACGCCCGGTGACTGCCACAGCCGGGAGCATGGTGCCCGAGGCGCTGCTGCGCACCTGGAGGGTTTCCGGTTGGGCGCTGTGCCCGGCGGGGCGCTGGGGCGAGTGACCTGCGGGATCCTGGCAGCTTCCGTTGCCGTGGCTGGAGCCCCACCAGTGGCTGCCGCCGGCACGTGGCCAGCAGCGCCCCGGGAGGCCTCACCGGGCTGGGGGGTGGGCCATCGCAGTTGGCTGCTTTCGTCTCTGCGCTGGGGCCACCGGCTGGGACTCGGCGGGTCCCTCTCGTCAGACCTGCTCCAGGGAGTTGGCCCTGCTGAGCCGCCTGGGTGCTGGACCTGCCCGTCTGGGCCCACAGCTCCCTGCGTGTCTCAGCCGGGGGGACGGGCGTTCTGGTGGAGCTGGAGAGAGTCTCGAGGAAGCAGGAGCTTGGGAAGGAGGCGCAGGCATTCCCGGCGAGCGAGGCAGGCGGCGGCCTGAACAGGACGTGGGCTTGTGCTGTGGGGAGGCCTCTGCGACACCTGGCCCTCCGGGGGCAGCGACGGAGCCTGGACGTGGGGCGAAGCTCCCCCTTGTCCTGTGAAAGCGCCAGCAGACCAGGCGGTGGCTTTCCCAGGGGTCGTGGGTCCTCCGCCGGGTGGGGGCTGGGCCATGCCTGCCGGGGCCCCGGGGCCCTTGGAGTTGTTTGGACGAGACAGACGCGTGCGTTTGGGACGTCAGTAAAGGTTCGCGATTCTCGTTAACGGTGGCGAGGGGACGGCGTTCAGGGCGGATGCGACGGTGTGGGGGCCACTGCGGCGGAGGGGGATGGGGCCCAGCCCCACACACAGGATGAGAGGTTCAGCCCAGGGGCCGGTGGGGCAGCCAGAGGGAAAAGGGGGAGACATCGGCCCTGGCCAGGGTTGCTCAGTGGTTAGAGCATCCGCTGGAGCGTCAGAGGGTCTCGGGTTCAATTCCCGGTCAAGGGCACATGCCTGGGTTGCAGGTTCGATCCCCAGCCCCAGTCGGGGTGCATTCAGGGGGCAACCAGTCGATGTGTCTGCCTCACATCGGTTTCTCCCCCCACCTCCCTCCCTTCCGCTCTCTGGAAAAATCACCCTCAGGCAAGAATCAGCAGCAAAAGAGGAGCCCTCAGGGCAGGGGGGGGACATGCCGGGGGTCTGAGGTCAGCGGGTGGTGGGGACGCCTGGCGGTCGGGCGTCAAGGATGGGGGCTGCTCAGCACTGGGCAGGGGCGCCCGACGCCCTGGCCCAGGTGGGAGAGGGTCAGGGCCTGGGCGCCGGGTGCTGAGTGAGGTCCGGCGTCTGCCGCAGGCCGAGGAGGAGCGTGCCGACATGGAGAGAGTGAAGCTGGACAACAGGAGGATCCTCTTCAACCTGCTCCCGGCCCACGTGGCCCAGCACTTCCTCCTGTCCAACCCCCGGAACATGGTGAGCGGGGGGCCCGGCACCCACTTACCGGCTCTGAGACCCCCTGAGACCCACCGGG